TTATTAATTTACAGAAAAATGCGCTGGTCAAAAAATCTGAAAAAATTTACATAAAAGAATGCTTTGTAGATAAAGCTATGTTCCAAATTTCAAGCAATTCTTAACATATTGCATTCTCCTTACAACCTCCTTAACATCATTTGTAGTATTTCTACCAAATTTTATGATAATCGAGCGTTTGCCGTTTTCGGAAGTTCACCCACATTTCGAATCCAGCATTTGAATACATTAACTTTTTTTGTAATATCTATGCCATTCTTTGTAAAAATTTTAAGACTGCAGAAGTATGTTTTTAATGATTTTAAAAATTCTAATTGTTCTTCTAAGGCTATAAATGCATTTTTACTTGACTTCTTTCTTTTAATACATGATGAATTAAAAATATCAAACGTAGCATCTAATTTTTCAACATATTCTGATGTATCTTTAGCAGGTGTCGGCAAATGTCCAAATGAAATCATAGTATTAATAACAGAAGCTACAGAAAAACTTAAAACTTGAGCAACATATTTTACTTTCATCCGTTGAAAATTATTGGGATAGATGTGTGTATCGTGAGCTATTTTAGGAACTAATCTATTTATGTTTTCTTCATCTATTTCATATAATTTCTTTATGTGCTGCCATGAGATAATTTTATTTTCTGATTTAATAATATTATTTAATAAATTTTTTTATTTCTAGCTGCTCTTTTACAAGGTGTGGTGGATCAAAAAAGTAAAATATTTTTTGGCTATTTACAATATAATAAGGAGTTTCTTGAGTCACGCCTAATTTTTTAAGTGCTTTTACATAATCTGTTCCCATATCTGTCACTTCAGCAACAATTTTTAAATTAATGCTCTGAAGTCTTTTGACATATTCAATAGTAATTATTTCGTAATTTATCAGCATCTATAGTTGAATTAAGAAAAAAATAACCAAGTGGTTGCTTAAATTTATTTGTCAAACCTCTGACCATGATTATCGCTGCATTACATGCAGGTAAAAAACTTTTAGTATAACCTGTATCATGAAATCCAATCACTATATCTCTGTTAATTATATAAAATAAACTTGCTTTTAATGACATTGTATCAATAGAAATGCAGCAATATTTATCTAGCATACGTAAATTTTCAGTTTTAATCCGAAGTCTTTCAAATACAATATCATTTATACCAGGGAAAATTATAAGTCCTTGTATTATGCGTTCAAGTGTTCTCTTGGATGGTAAAATAAAAGTGTTGCTTAAAATTCTATAAGCTTTGGATCCTTTAAAATATAAATTCAAACAAAATATTTTAAATTCTTTGGTATATCTATTACCGTTTCTTTTTTTGTCGAGATTATTTCCTTGAGTTTTCATGAAATCAGCTATCGGTTTTGGATAAAATTTATAAAGAAGTTTTTGGAAATCGTCATAAGTAATATCTTCTATATTTTTTTCATTATTATATTTTAGTTTTGCGCGTTTTGCTCTTTTATCTGCAGCTTCACATTTTTTTCTGAGAACTTCTTTTCTTGGAGTAGAACTGGATAATTTTAATTCGGTTTGAGTTGCTTTATCATCTTTAGAATTCGTTAAATTAAAATCTTTAGTTGAATCTGTGCTTAAATTAACATCTAAAATTATAAGTAAAAATTGAAAAATCTTTAAAATAGATCAAATAAAATCCTAAATTAACAAACTTCTTTGTTAAAAAATATTTTACCTGTCAAATTGGTTGTTGAACAACTGACTTTAACACTGTATACATCTGCTTGTAAATTTGTTGTAAAACATGAAGTGTCTACTGTTGAAATGTCTACTAAAATAAGTTTTTATAAATAATTTAATAAATAATTAAAATATAAATAAGGTAAAAGGCAACAAGCCTAAAATAAATACAAAGAACATTCGATATAAAATTTAAGCCATATTATAGATTTATTTTATTATTTAATAAATAATAATAATAAAAATTATGTCGAATAATTAAAAAAATATCTATATGTAACACATATTCAAAATATATACAATTATGAAAGAAAATTAATTATTATTGATTACTCACTCTGATCAGTTGTTACATCATTGGTAATATTAAGAACTGAACTTGGAACTGCATATGTTTGAAGTCGATTTTTTAAATCATTTAAGAACATATGAGCAAAATGTTTTGATCAAATTCTGTAATTATTATATAGTCTTTTTTGTAGAATATTCTCCTTTATATCACATGCTTGTAGCCTCAATTTTGCTCTAAAACATATATTATTGTAATTTTAAAAATTATTTAGTGTTTACACACACAGATACACACCCACACACATATACATTACATACGTATCAAAAATTATCACAAAATTACTACCTTTCTAAATCAGATGGAAAACGAAAAAAGTTTAGATGACGATCTGCTCCGGAATTATTGTTACAGTCACGCATTGAACACGTAAAACCACCAACAATTACACGTTCCATTTTATATATTTTTAAATACTTTTAAAACTAAAATATCAAGAGTATTTTTCAATAGCAGACAATCATCGATTAAGGAGGTTGTAAGGGCATAAAACACATATATTAATATTTTCGCTTTAAATAAACTACATACATGTGAAAGTTGTGTT